TGTTGGAGTTTGTTGTAACTTCTCTTTCATTTGATTTTATTTATTTGGGTCTTCGCTCTCTTATTCTTGATGGGTTTGGCTAAAGGTTTATCAGTTTTGTGTATCTTTTCAAAGAACCAGCTCTTAGTTTTATTGATCTTTTCTTGATATTTTTTAGTCTCACTTCACTTATTTCTGCCCTGGTCTTTATTATTTCCTCCCTTCTACTCATGTTGGGCCTTGTTCTCTCTAGTCCTTTAGGAGTAGGGTCAGACTGTTTGAGTCTTTTGTTACTTCCTGAGGGAGGCCTGTAATGCTGTGAATTTTCCTCTTAGCACTGCTTTGCTTTCTCTGTGTCCCGCAGGCTTTGAGTTCGTGTGTTTTCATCTCCAGTTGTGTGTAACGTTTCAACGTGTTAACTGAATTTCGCGTTGTTACTGAGAAATTGAAGGTGAAGCATAAACTTTGAGTCCATACATTACGCTCTTCCATGTTCACTCCAGGGACATCATAACATAGCATTTCTTTGCAATGCAAGTTTAGGAAAGAGGTTAACTCTCTTTTCATTTTAAAGGGCCCTAATTTTAATTTTTGAGTAACAGATTCTAATGTAGCCTTTTTAAAAAAATACTGTTTTTATTATTTCGCACTGCTGTTCATCCTCTAGGCTTGGTTGGTATAAATGCAAACACTGTTCGACCTCTCGCTTGATTGCAGGTGACGAAAGAGGACTTCGCCACATTCGATTACATGCTGTGCATGGACGAGAGCAACCTGAGGTGAGGGCGCCCCTGGAAGGGCACTGCTGTTCACGCTCGTTGGCAGGCCAAGGCGTTTGCCGTGCAAGTGACTTTTTTATTATCTTACAGTTTTAATAGCGAGTGATGGCCACCGCGCACAGCATTAGTGTGTTAGAACAGTGAGAAGTGTGGAAAGCAACTTAGAACTGTCTAAAGCGCACACTTACGAGGAGCTGCACCGTGGAGTCGGCAGCGTCAGTTTGAAGAGCAGTTGGGTGGTGATGCGGTTTTCTCTCAGGCAGGGCCGTGTCCACAGGGAGGTGACTCTGTTGTGGCTGAAATGATTTGTGGACAGTGTGGGGTTTTATTGTCCCTCATCTTATTCCTCCTTTACCTCTTCCCGCCCCCGAGAAACTAAGACCAACAGAAAACTTCCAACAGAAAACTTCCTACTCTATTTAAGTTGTTGATCACCTTAATCGAGTAAAATGAAAAAAACAAAACCAGCTGATGGCCCAGAGTGTCCGATGAAAATGGCTGGCTGCTCTGCAGCACGTATCAGCTCTGGGTGCCCAGCGCGGCGTCCACAGGTTTGCGTTGTGACCTGCTGTGCTCAGGGAACCTGAGGCCCCAGGGGTGGAGGTGCCTGCCCGGGGTCTCGGGCAGTGGTGGGTGTGCTGGACTCTAGCACAGGCTCCACACTGACCACACTCCCCACCGGGCCTTATTGCCTCGTGTGCAGTCGGCTGCAGGCGACGTCCTTGGGCAGCCGGTGGCTGTGGTAGGTGGTGGTACTGCTGCCTGCCCTTGTGAAGCCACTGCTGTGGGCTACACGTACGAAGATACGGTTACACCCAGTGAAGAAAGCATATGAGATCATGTGACCAAGCCCCAAAATGAGTGAACGCAGCGTGTTTTACAGTCAGAAGCAGACTCAGGTGAGGTGACTGGACAGGATGCAGGAAGGTGTTGCGGTTGAAGACCCGGCACTGTGCCTCTTATCCCACGGCAGCTGCACTGTTCCACGTGCTGAGAACAGGGCTGGTCGGCGGCTGTGCAGGCGCAGAGATGGGCGTCCGCGGCCACGGGGAGTCATCGGCTGCGTCAGAACTGACACACACGCGTTCCGCGTGGTTGATGCAGAGAAGCCGCTTCTGCTCCTAATCACCCACCCCTGTCGGAGTGGACGGAAGTGCGAGCAGCAGCTTCCTGACGTTTCTGTTGGTCGGGGACTTTATAAAGTCTGCGCGTTGCTCACTCTCGTCTTCTAGTTGTGAACGGCGTCGTTCTCACTTGGCTCACCTGCACCTGCACCGCAGCTCACACGGTTTCCAGCAGCGTCTTGTCGGAAAGTTCTGTGCGGCTCCCCTCACTAGGGACGTCCCCGACGTGGCTGGCATTCGGCCAGTGCTGCCTTTGTGGAGCAGCGTCTACCTGCTCTGTCCCTTCCTGCTCGGGCCACTCAGCTGCTGACTGGCCTTCCTGTCAGCCCAGGTCACTTGGGGGAAATGTTCCCTTGGACACCAGCGAGCTCCATGCCCGCACCGAGCTGCCTTAGTGTGTCACAGTCTGGCCTTTCCTCCTGCAGCAGTGGGACGGCGGGTGGGGAAGGTGTCAAGGGCAGGCTGTGTCCCGCAGCCTGGGCTCAGGCTGAGGCCCCAGGGGGGACACGGGGACTCCACCCTTCAGGGGGCTGAGAGCCCTCGGGACCTGGCTCACACAGCTGTTCGTGCTCTGTTCTGTCGTCTTTAAGCTCCTAAACGAGATGATGCGTTTGATTGGTTGTCTCAGCACGTGTTCCACGGAGAGTTCCTGACTGTGCTCTGACCTCCGGGTGCACAGTTGCTGTAAAAAAGCAGGGGGGACAGGCTGCTGTTGGGACTGAGGGACAGTCGCCAGAGGCGGGACGGGTGTCTCGACAGGGGTATTTCAGGAAACCCTGCAGGGGCCCCTGTTTCACCTCCAACCAGGGGTCACAAAGCTAAGTTTATGTTTTAATTTTACAGAGATTTAACTAGAAAGAGTAATCAAGTTAAAAACAGCAAAGCTAAAATTGAACTGCTCGGGAGCTACGACCCTCAGAAACAGCTCATTATTGAAGACCCCTACTACGTGAGTACCGTCCCGTGTCCATGTCCGCACTCCCACGTGGGGTGGCGCGTGGAGGTCCTCGAGGGCAGTCTGTGCGGCCGGTCTCGCCATTGTCCTTTCGTCCTTCCAGGGGAGCGAGTCCGACTTTGAGACCGTGTACCAGCAGTGCCTGCGGTGCTGCCGGGCCTTCCTGGAGAGGGCCCGCTAGGAAGGCCGCACCCCAGCAGGGCCGCCCGCGTCGGTAGCGTGAGGCCGGTGCTGGCACTTCCGTCCGCCTGCTGTTCTTTACCAAAATAAGTAATTGTAGATGGAAATCAGTGGTGTGTTTGGCAAAAGAATGAATAAATGTTTTTGACTCAGCTTGGGGCACGTGAAGTGTTATTAGTCCAGCGGCACCTCCTGCTTTGGTCCATTCACAGGCAAAATTGTGGACCAGCCACAGAGACCGTGATCTCGCCGAGGCCCCGGTGAGTGTGTGACACTTGCCAGTCGCCCGCTCTGCCGCTCCCTGTGTGGGCCGGAGGACCAACGTCCCCTGCACTCTGCCCACGGGGCGCACAGCGGGGCGAGTTGTGCCCACTCACTCCCTGGCTGTGCACACACGGGTTTCGGGAGAGAGGTTTATGGAATGACACCGAGCGTCCCCGTCTCTGCCTGGCCCACCGCACGGGGAAGGCAGCTGGTTTGCTCCACTCGAGCCACAGTCACGTCCAGAAAGGGGACACTTGTGTGCCGCGTGATCTTGCGGTCAGTTTGAGGATGTGTCTGCTTTCAGGTGCGTATGTAACCCAAATAATTAAATAGTTGGGAAAAGTTTTTATGTTGGAATGCTTAGATATCGAAAAATATTATTTCATCACTGCTTAATTTATAGGCAGATAGAGGTAATTTCTGTGTACTTTCAGACAACTAATATAAAATTCATGTGGTTATATGTCAGAAAAAGATTTTTCAAAATAAACTGGGGAAATTCTACAAATACAACTGAGATGTCGGTCTGCTGTCTGCCTACTGCTCTGTTGGCAAGAAGAGTTGGAACAGGGGCCTTGGTTAACCCTTTCCGTCTTCGGTTTGGGAAGTGCAGTGGCGGAGACCACAGGCTGCTGAAGAAAGAGGTCTGCGGCCCCTCAGCAGCCCCCCTTCCGGGCCGGCCCTGCATCAGGGCCCCTGGGCGAGGGTTCGCCTCGTCTTCGCCCAGTTCCAAACTCTGTCTCTGTCAGAGCGGCCTCTACCCAGAGTCGGGCGCAGTGTCCGGCGGCAGGGAGTCCCACAGTGCAGGGCTCCCTGTGGGGCCCTGCTGCTCCATGGGGTCGGGGGCCGCCTCTCCAGAGGGTCACGAGGCCCCCGGTGGGGGGTGTTTAGTCCTGAACCTGCGTGCACCTGGAAGGTGTGTAGGCACCGGGGGCATGGGGACAGAGGGATGGGGGTCCGGGCAGGAAGGACGGTGGGATTCCTTGACAGGCTTACGGAAAGTCCTTTCTAGAACGTACAGGAGACTGGGAGGATTGGAGAGATTGACAGTTTGGTGCCATCCTGTAAAAGCGAAGACTGGAGGAAAAACAGTTGCGTGATTAACCAGTTGGAACATAGGGTGAAGACAGAGCACTTCAAAAATTTTACTCCACCCTAATCTTTCAGTAATTGCTTAATAAGCCCGAAGTAGATAAAGTCATTACTCTCCGCTATTCCTCTGTGTTCACAAGTGAATCCATATACATACATTCTCATGCTTGCACACGCATGTTCAACACGGTTCCTCAAATCCCAGGACTCCGCTTCGTCTGTGGCTGGGCCCAGACCAGGGTCACGGACAGAACTCGGCTGAGCCCACCCGTCTTTTTAAACTGGACCCAGTCGGGTCTGCTCGCGACGCTCCCACGTTTACAAACGGGGTTTGCTGAGCAGTCTCCAGGCTCAGTGTCCTCGTGGCCACACAGTCACACGGGAAGGAGACACAGGCGCAGACTTGTGGACATGCTGACTCCTGGGGCAGGGTCTCGGGGAGTCGGGTCACCACTGTGCGACAGCCTCTCCTTTGCAAGAGGACAGTTCAGTCGCTGATGGCACGGATGTGTCGCTTTCCGCCGCGTTCACCAATGCCTTTCACGTTCTCGGACCTGCTGCCATTGTCCCCACAGACTGGGAAACTGTTGATTCCCAGTGAGGGACTTGGCAGAGAGTACGGCCACTTTGATTGTTATAACAAACACTTTATTACTTGTCTTATGTACAGCATGTACATATTGCACAGTATACTGGTACTAATTACATTTATTACACAAACGACAGGTGAACTTAGCCTCGATATGTTCACAATTTACACTTCACTGTCTCCAAAACACAGCTGAAGTTTATCTTTTTAAAAAAGTTTCATGCACTTCCAACTAATACTGGGAATTTAATTGTAAAAGTAACAAAAATATTAAATCATACCATACGTGATATGAAAATATAGTTTCAGATCTGCTTGCATTTCTAAAGAAATGTCCTGGGGTCCCACCCAAGCAGGAGACTGAGGAGCCTCCCCCGTGCTGTGGCGTTACACGGCAGACCGGCGCGCGCTCGTTCTGAAACACGGAGCGGCAGGCCCACCGCCGGGCGCTCGGACGGACGGCGTGCATGTCCGCAGACGCTGCCAACAACCTACGAAACGCCAGGAGCTGTGGAAGTTGCAAAAATAAATCTCTGTTCCTGGGACGTGTTGGTGCAGGCGGCCGGTTCTGAGTCCCTGTCGGTCTGCAAGGCACTTGGCAGGGTTTCCTCCGTGGGTCGCCCGTGGCTGGAAGGAAGCACACGGCCTGTCACTGCCCACGCTGCTGCCAGTTCCAGAGACACCGCGCCAGGCCACACGACGTGGTCCCTCGAGACACGGGGCACCTGCGCGCGGTTTGTGTCCCTGAAAGTGGACAGCGCCTCCGCTGTGCAGTGACTCCGTGCTTGAGGCACCGAGGGGGTGGGACCATCGGGATTCCCTCCCGTAGGCCTGGCACGTGCTGCCAAGCCCTCGGTCACTCAGTCTGCGTGGGTTTAGTGTGTGGCCCTCGGGGGCCAGAGCCGCCAGGCCGCGTGCCGTTGCGAGCAGGCCCCGCAAGGCTAGTGGTCAGGAGTGGACACTCCAGCGCCCTCCGTTGCGCACCTCTGCTGCGGCGTCCATGTTGGGAAGAGATGTCCTGGTGCCTCACTGAGTGGGGCTGCTCCCCAAGCCCCACGCGGGCCCTGTGGCCTGCCCGGCTGCTGACGGGCCCTCCGCCAGGAGAGCTCAGCTGCCGAACCTCAGGGAGGAGGCCGGGTCCCAAGGGAGTCCCTGCGCCCAGACCCCTGACTGCTCGGTGTGCTCAGGCACGGCCTTTAAGGGGACGGGAGCAGAGCCTCCCCTCGCACTCCGTGCAGCTGTCCGCTGCTGCCTCCTGCGTGCGGACAGCAGGGAGGGTGTTGGGGCTGGCTCAGCCTGGAGGGAGCCCCTGCCCCTCACTTGTGGGCACCCTTACCCAGCCTGCAGGGACCAGACAGTGTTTGCTACTGTAGTTTAAAACTTCCGGAACTAGAAGAAATTAATCTTTTAAAATGTGAAATTACAGTTAGCAGATGTAACTTTTAAACTTGACCCATTTCTTGGCCAAAATGAACAGTTAGGGCCATGGCCCGGAGGATGTGCGGACGCTCAGGGGCACCACCTTGACCTTTCCTCTGGGCTGTGTTTCATCTGGTCTGACCAACTGGTGGGTCCGGAGTGATGGGCCAGCGGGGGGCCACCAGCACCATCCCACGGCCACGTCCCCAACGCAGGCAGGCTTCTGCTGAGTGTTCCTGGGTCTGTCCTGATGCAGCAGCAGCTCACTCAGCACCGCCCCACAGGTGGGTGGGCCCCGAGGTCGGGGTGGGGGGGCACTGCTCCCCTGGCCGCTCTCGGCCTGGCCGAGGGGACAGAGCCCCCAGGTCAGGGGCTGCAGAGGGTATGCCCCCTCGTGGAGGGTGAGTGGAAGCTGTTTTCCAAGGAATTGCAGACAGGGATGCTCAAAAAATAGAACTCTCATCTGCCCAGGCACATCGCCTGGGAGGTGCATGGCACCCACGCGGTGCCTGAAAAGGGACTTTCGTGCTGTGGGCGCAGGAGCTGGACAGCGTGGCCGCTCGTTCCCACTGTGGCATTAAGGACCGGCTTCCGATCGATCGCCCCGGCTCGACCCTGGAGAAGCCTCCGCAGAACCCCCGTGCGGGTCCTCATCTGCCCGGCTTCTCACAGGTTGGCGGACCTGGGACCTCAGCCCCAGACCTGGGCTGCACACTGAGCTTCCCATGCCAACCCTCCATCAGCTGTGCCCTCGCTTACGCTGTGGCCTGACCTGACCCTCTCCGTGCTGTGCCCACCTCCACTCCTGGAGATGGGCGAGAGGAGCCACAGGGCTGGAGGAGTGTCCTGGACGGCCGTCAAGGGCCAAAGCACGTCTTCCTACTGGGGACGGACCTGCCCTCGGGAGTGCCTGGCTCACAGGACACAGTAAGTGTGAAATGATGAAATCATGGCGCGTGTGTCAGGAGAATGAAAACTTGTGGTCTGCCCACTGACTGACAACTGCTGTTACATACTAGCCCTCAAGAGGCCAAGTAAAAAGTTCAGTTCGTAAATTCTTAATGCACATCTATAATTTTACCCTTAGAGTCTATGAAAAAATAACTTTATGGGACTATTGAAAGAGGGTAGCCACTCTTAACTTTCTGCATCAGCTCATTGGCATGGAGACAGAGTCCAGCTTGAATGTTTGCCAGAGACATGCACACATGACACCGGCGTGAGGGCTAGTGAACGGGTGGCAGTTCTCAGCATCACCCGATTTTGTGCCCCCCTTGCACACTCAGATGTGTTTCAAATAAACACACACTGCGTGCCGACCCTGTCGCCACGTGGACAAGGATGAGTGGTGGCTGGGCGCTGTGCCGGCCCGCACGGGCGCCCCCAGCCTCGGCCAGTACTTGGGGACGTTGAGTGTTCCAACAGCCTCGCTCAGAGTAAGGCTGCCTCGCCGGCGAACGAGGGCTACTAAAGCCCCTGAGTTTGTTCCCGTCCCCGAGGGGATCGCTGGCGCGGGTGGGCTTACCTTATCCGTCCATGCACACGGGACTCACAGCCAGCCGGGTCAGGAGCCGGGCACACCTCTTGTAGTCTGCGGTGGGAGTAAACCAGAGCCCGTCAGCCGCTGCGGCGGCTCCTCGGTCAACAGCACTCACACAAGGGCACCAGCCGTTAAAGCCATTTCATTCCTCTAAGTATTCTGAATTCCCTGGACGCGATTGTGGGCCCCAAGTTGTTGACTTAATGATTTATGGGGACTTGGGGAGCCCTGTGGCAGAGGTCAGGCGAGGGAACTGGGAGGCTGCGGGGAGGGGCAGGTGCAGACTCTGCCGTCTGGCAGTGGGGCAGGGGCTCAAGGAAGTGACTTAGATTTGCTTCCTCGTAGGTCACATCCAGCGAGTCCCCACTGCTTAACACAGAGTCTTCCCTAAACACCCCGTTCAACCCTCATCAGCTGTGCTCAGAAAGCCAGGGCCTCCGGGACCATGGCGGGGGCGGGGCAGGGGGTTTCCTGGGCAGTTTGCAAATCACTGCAGCTGACTGTTCAAGTCACATAGTCCTACTGAGTGGTGGAGAGCGCCTAACCCCACATGAAAACCCAAAAGAATGCATCAACCAGCAGCAAGTTAGACAAGCAGCTGAACCTGCGCCCACAGGTGCGCCTGGGGTCAAGAGGTCGCAGCACCCCGGCTCATGGGAGACCAGGGTGCAGCTGTAGGCTGGGCCTGTAGGTCCCTGGGGACTTGGCTCCTGCAGCAGTTTCTCCGGAGCAGTCGCCTACCAGGCCACCTGTGCAGGCGTTTCCACTGGGGCCTCACCTTCTCTGACCCTTTACCTAACAAGTGACGCCCCTGGGGCCTCACCTCTGCAGGGTTTGTGTGCTGCTCTGGGAAGGCCCATACTTACAGCACAAAGGCCCTCACGGCCCCCCTCATGCCCAGCCTCCCAGGGACCCAGACCAGCTCCGCAGGCCTGTGGATGGCAGATACCTGACTCCGGGCTCCCTCCACCCTGCCCCTTCCACCCTGAGAGCTGCAGCTGGGCCCCACCTGAGGATGCCTCTCACTGTGTGTGGGTGACCGGGTGACTGGGAGCCCAGGCGGCAGGTGGCCGAGCCTCCAGGGCACTGGAGGCGTGAGTGGGAGGGCTAGCAATCATGACCCCAACGGTCCCACTTTCTCAGACCAGGTGTACTGTGAACACATGAACACAGACCACGGAACGAGCAGGTTCTCTGGCCTCAGGAAGTGGGTTAATGATTCTCAAGCAGCAGGTGACTCTCGGGAGGAGGAAGTGCAGGAGCAGCAGGTGCGGGGTCCACATGGCAGGGCGGCCAGGGTGGCAGCGAGCTCGGAGCTTGTAAAACCCGAGAGCAGTGCCCGAGAGACTGTGCGCTGCCCGCCCTGGGGCCCCGTCCCCATGAGCCGGGAGAGCCCGAGGGGCGCCCGCCCTCTGCCAGTGCACACACCTGCTGTGACTCAGGGTCACTGCTATCTTCGCTGTGAAAACTTCCACTTCATGGAAAGTGGCTTTTTTTTTTTTTAAAGGACAGGATTGGCAGGTCTGGCCTGTGCCCCCTGGTCAGCCCTGAAAGCAGCTGGTGAGATACCGCTTATCTGCAAACAGCCCACCAATGGAAGTTGCATCTGCTCAGAAAAACTGGTTTGGGCTCTGGCAGATGTCGCTTTACCTAACAGGTGACTTGTCACCATCATATGTGACAAGCACAAGGAGCCACTTTGGAGGAAATCAGATGCGTGTTGTCACAGAGAACCAAGAAGTCAGAGCTGGTTCCACACCGAGAAGGGCCAGTCTGTGTTTCCGAGTTAGTGATGAAGCCAAACGCAAGGGCAGAACTTTGAAATAGCAGCTTAGCCCTGGGGTGACGAGGGTGCGAATCACCCACAGAAAGGAGTCTCAGGGGCCCAGGTCCATTGGCTTCTCACCCCAGGGCACAGCCACTCACTCTCAAAATCCATCTGATTGTCACCAATGGACTCAGAAGGTGACCGCCCTGAGCATTGCTAATCACGGCGAATCACTAATTTTAAGTCGGGCCCTGGCAGCTGCCAAATGTCATGACCTTCACTGGCTGGCCACCTGGCCCTGGCTCCATGGCTACGAGGGGACGAGTGAGGAAGACAGGCCGGTGGGTAAGTGGGAGGGCGTGGGAGGGCGTGGGAGGGCGTGGGGAACCCCCCCCCCCCCCGCTCCTGTGCCCGCCACAGCTCGGCCCCGTCACTCACATGCCGGGACAGTGCAGTCTCGGGTGTTGTGGTACAGCCTGTGGAAGTGTTTGCTGCACTTCGGGCTGAAGTAGAGAGGCCCTGGGACGGGGAGGAGACACAGGTCGTGAGGGCTCCCAGGGTGCAGGGGACGGGGGGGGGGGCAGGTGAGGGGGAGAAGGAAAGCCTACCTGTCAGGTGCTTCAAAAACTTGTCCTTCATCCTTAGATCCCGGGGGACAATTTCTGTTTGAGGGGAAGCAAGTGGTTACTGTGCTGTTGGAGAGAAGCATCTCCCCCTGTGACCCTGGGCGGGGATGGTCACCAGGTAAAGACAGGCCCGGCCCTTGCTCCTGACGCCATGCGGACACCTGTCCCTGGAGGCGCAGTTTCCCTAAACAGTGTCAGCGACTCACAGACCTCCTGTGTCACGACTCTGGCCCCTCCCGCAGGAGAGCAATGGTGACTGTGAAGGAAATCACATGTGTGGTGGTTTTTTGACAATGAGCTTCCAGTGAATAAATTGCAGTTAGACACTTTCATCTCAAAGAGCTTGGGAATCAAATCCCACAACCCCTCGAAGTTCTAGAAAGAACACCTCATCCATCCATCACAGAGATGGCCACAGAAGTTTACTTTTCTGGGTACATATTTAGAAAACAGATGAAATGTCTTCAGACCACCTGCTGTGAAAGCTGTGTGGACGCAGGGTTTGTCTCACAAAGCAGCAGGAGAACCTGGTTCGTGAGAGAGAAGCAGAACTCCCGGGGACCTTCTTCCAAGCAGACCCAGCCTTGGTGGGCACTCGCTAAGGGACACTTTCTGCCCTTACAGTCACCCGCTCTGGGCCTGTGACCTGCCTTTGTGCAGGTGGTCACCTCTGCCTGTTCCCCCAGGAATGTCCTCCCACCAGAGGGTCAGACATCGACCAGGTGTCAGTGCTCACTCTCCCCTAACTTATCACACCTGAACTACTTGTGTCTGGGCGGCGTTCACAGCGGGCAGCCTCTCCGGGGAACCTCCCCCTGGGGCGCTCTGGGAGGGCTCCGAGGCGGCGGAGGCTGGAGCAGCTCCCTTCTCAGTGGAAACCGCTGCGCGGGGAGCAGGTCCGTTTCCCAAACGACAGAGGGCAGATCTGAGCGGACGTGACCGACCCAGGGAGCACCCGCGCGTCTTGGAAGTGGGCGGGGGGTATGGTTACCCTCGAGGTCTCCTTCATGGACTTACTGTTTTCTTTTTTAACCAATAGAAATGGATTTGCCTTTTTAAAGTGTTTTCTCAAAGACCCTTCTATTTCCAAGCAAAGACGAGCTCTTGGTCCTGGGGCAGCAGAACTCACCCGCTCGCTGCTCCTCGGGGTCCAGCCCGTAGTCCGAGGCCTCCCTGCGGCCCGGAGCGGCGTCCTGCGGGCCCGGGGGCTGCAGGCGTTTGGACTCCCCCGAGTGGTACTTCTTGAGCTCCTGGATGATCTCCACGATGAGCCGCAGCAGCGTCTGTCTGTCCGCCACCTCCCGGGGCTCGGTGACTCCCCGGCCAGGCCCCACTGCGCCCAGCACTAGCAGCAGCCCCAGGAGGAGCGGGCGCCCGGGCCCGCGCATCGTGCGCTCGGCAGGCGGGCTGGGAAGTCTGCACACCCGGAACTCGCTGGCTGGAGGGATGAGCTGGGGGGGGGGGGGGCGGCGGGGAGAGCGGGAAGAAAGTCAGCTGGCTGGTCGGGTGGGGGACCGTGGAGAGACCACTGCCAGGGACCCCCGCGGACCCCGCCCGGGGGCGCCCCGCCGAGTCCCGGTCTGAGCCGGCAGAGGAGGGGGCGGCGACGGGGTGCTGGGTGGGGTCTCGCGGGGGCCCCAACCGAGGTTTCACACGCGGTTGTGGAGATCGGCGCCTGCTGAGCTCCGAGGCCGAGCAGCTTGGCCCTGCCCGCGCCGCGTCCCGCCCTGGCCCCGAAACTTTCACCCAACGGCACATCCCGCACGGGGAGCGCGAGGCGTCCGCACAACTTTCTTTAACCTTCCCCAGCCGCGTCTGAAAGGCTCGTCCCTCCGAGAAGGCCGCCCGTGCACCCGGCCCGGCTGCTGCGCTCAAGTTTCCAGCCTTTGTGTGCTGCTCGTGCCCCAACACAGGTCCCCGAATCCCACCGAGGAGCCCCCGAGCCAGGACCCTCGCCACGGCCTCCCACGGTGCCAGGTCCGGGAGACCCTCGGCGCCTGCAACGGGGGCCGGGCCGCCACGTGCCCGCGGACCACGGGCTCCCGGGAGCCGGCCGCTCACCTGCTCCGGAGCCTCGGGCTACTCCGGCGTCCGGCTCCGGTCCCGCTACTCCATGCCTCGCGGCGCCCGGGCCGGCGGAGCGCGCACTGCGGGGCGCACCCGGCGCGCTGGACTCGCACGCGCCGCTCTGCTGTTGCGAGCGCTGCACAGCGGCCGCCTCGGACCCGGGCGCCTCTTATGCCCGCGCCGCCGACGTCAGGCGGGTCCCGAGGGCTCCGCGCGGGCTTTAATTAGAAGCCGCTGGTGTTCGTACCCCCGTGCGGATCTTCGTCAGACCCACCCCCCGCCCCGCGCTCCCCGCCGCGTCCGTCACCCCCCTCCGCCCCCTCCTTTCATCTCCTCCCCTTCCCCTCCCCACTTCTCCCCCTTCCTCTCCCCACCCCTCCCCCTCCCTTCCCCTCCCCCATCTATTTACCTCCGTTCCTGTCACTTGTGACAGGATGAGAAGAAACGCCTTTACCAGGAACTCGGATCTGTTTTTGTCTAAATGGAGAGCTTGGGCTATTAAAAAAGGAGCTGCCTCGACATTTAATAAATCAATTAGAGTCTATCCGTTTGGAGGAACCTGGTGGCGTGGCCAGGCGGCCCGGGGAGGGGCAGTCAGGGGCAGGGGACTGCAGGGCAGGGCAGGGGACTCAGGGTGGCGCAGGGTCCGGCGCCCCTCCGGCCTGCAGCCCTCGGAGCTCCGCGGAGACGGGCCAGGCCCCCTCGGTGCGAGACCCTCTTCCAGGCTGGTCTCCGCGCCCCTTCAGGGACCCGCCTGCAGGAGACCCCCGGGGGCGGTTCCCTCCTGGCCCACGTCTTCCAGAAAGTTTTGGTTCTTTAGATATAGGCAGGCGCGTGTTGAGGGTTCAACAATTTGTCTCCTGTAATTTTTTTTCTTGTAAAATGTATTATCAGTCAGTTGCGCACTTTCCCATTTCGTTGGCGCTTTCTGGGCAAGCGTTGGACGTCCTCCAAGCCCGCGATCTGACGGGGAGAGGTGCTGTGAGCGCCACGCCGGGAAGGGGGCGCGGGGCTGGGATTAAAAGCCTTGCTATTAGCGGAGCGGCCGCGAGGCCGGCCAGAGCGCAGGGCGCCGGGAGGCGCTGGGAGCGGGGGGTGGGGGGCTGGGGGGTGGGGTGGGGGGTGGGGCGCGGCCCCAGGACCCCTCTCCGGCTCCATCTCTGGCCCTGACTCCGTGTCTCCCTCCCTCCCCTCAACAGGTCCGTTTCTTTGGGTAAATCAAATAGAGACAGACGATTACAAAATAGGACCACCTACGCCCCACCCCCGCGCACACACGCGCGCGCGTTGGGTTAGGTGTTAATACTCTGCCGTTTGGAAGCAAATGGTTGGGTTCTCAGGGGGCACTTACGCAAGCAGTGTTACCAGGCTGCGGACGTTTCTGTTAAGCAAAACTCGAGAAAAGAATAAAAATTCATATCAAACAGATCTTAGGCGGATAAAATGAGATATTTTCCCCTTTGCCTTTACGTGTGTTAAAAAAAAATGTGAGCGCCTCTTTTAAGAGCGCCGCCTAGTGACAAGCCCCGCCCCCCCATTCTGCTTCCCGGGAGCCCCCGCTGGAGGGGCGCGTGGCTCCCGCATGCGAAGCGTCTATTGTAAAATACTGTCCTGTAAGCCTGTTTGGGGGGAAAAACACAAGGCATGAGCTCAAACTCATATTTTAAATTTGCATACAACCCTTCCTTTTCAATAAATATTCTACAAAATCAAAAGCTATACTTTTTTCTCAAAAAATACCAGTAAGAACTATCTCCCCTCCACAAATTCTACCAACCAAGGAAGGCTTGCTAGTAATTAATATTATCCTTTCTTTTTCAGTTTTAATGAGGCAAACACGCGGGCTCTCGGCGTGGCTGCTCTCTGCCACTCAGCTGTGCAGATCCGCCCAGCTGATCGGGGTCTTGCCTGCATCAGCACCAGCCACAAAACTGGTGCTTGCACTGGTGTTTCCACTCACTGGGTCGGGCTCGTAGAATCAGACACTTCAGCTGCTCATTCATTTCTTTTTGCAAATGTCTGTGCTGAAAAGGCTGTAGGTGTCCCTCGTTTTGTATAAACCATTTTACAGACGTGTTCGCCCTAATACATGAGCGCACTGGTGAGCAATCTTCACGCACTCCGAGCTCGTCCGTGTGCCGCGCTGTCAGGGTGAGCTGCGTGGAGTTCTGCGGGCAGCGGAGCACGCGTGTGGTCCATACCCACTGTCACCACCATGGGATCGGCCGAATGAGTTGTCTGTGCTGTTGAAGGCAAGACAAATACGCGAACCTGGTTGACATGAAGATGTGATGTGTTTACCAAATGCCCCAGTCTCTCCCCTTCTCTCTGTGCTTGGACCCGGTGCCTGTGGAGTCCAAGGCCGTGCGGTTCCGGGACTGTCCCCAGAACAGCGAGCCGCAGCTCTGCTATGAAAGGCTGAAGTGAATTGCTTGAAGTAATCACTATGCATTGCACGGTCTATTTTCAGGCAACAAGAAGTGATATATTTATATCAAATAATTTTACTTCCTCCTTTAGTAAGTGAACAACTTTCTACTATGAAGGGCCCAAATTAAAAAAAAGACAGAAAATTAAGCAACACATTATATTTTAACATTATCGACAAAAAGATAACAAATAATTTCTTTTGCTGGATTTGACTTAGGTTTCTTTCCTCCTGAGAAAACGATACCGGGTCAAAGAAGTGAAAGTAACCAGAGAGAGAAAAGTGGCGCTTCACCTGCCTCTTCTGTAGAGCTCTACTGTGAGACGGGCGAGCTCTTTTTGAATTTGTAAACGGTAGAAATCGCTGATGTTTTAACTCCAGACACTCTTCTGCTTTCCGCAGTTATATATTTTACCTGGGGTGAATGTCAGCTACCTTCGAAGACTTCTAAAATAGGCGCGTGTTCCCTGCATGTTTGGTGAGTTACGTTTGCTCAGCCACCCTGCTATTTAACAATGTGACAAATCTCTTCCCAGAGAGGAAAAGTGTCCTTTCCTGGAGGAAAACATTATGTACTATAAAGAAATACTGTTTCGTGCCTAGCTTTCCCCAGTCATGTTAGTTTCCCTGTGAGCATGTTCTTGGTGCGCTAGGGATGTAACCGAAACTGGAAAGTATCTGGGAAGATGCGCTTTCTGGCAGGACCAGCCTTTGGGTCAGTGGAGCCCCTGGGAAGTGCGGACGGATGCTTTCCACCCGGAGCCTGTCCTGGACCATGAGACGCAGCCCCGCCCAGGGCCTCTGCTCGGGTACAGGGCAGCGCCCTGCTCTGAGAGTGTTTGCTTATCCACCGAGTTCACTCCCAAAACACTCGCATCTGTGAAGCCCCGTGTGAAGGCCTGGGATCCCCCAAAGTCGATGATTTACTTCGGCCAAACCAGTGGGGCTGAGCCTGAAGGGAGTGTGGGCTTCACTCTTCTCCTTGGCACTGGTTTAGTTACAAAATCCAGCTCGGGAAGAGAGAGTCTGCCCTCAGGGCTCCTTGGGATGGCAACGAGGACTATGAATTTAAATGTCCACGCCCCACATCAACAAGTTAAAAAAAGACACTCCTGTTTGTTAAAAAGCCCGCCTCAAACTTATGGGCAGTCTGATCGCCCATGGGAGTATCTGGACAAAACACAGTCAAGGAGCTGAGGGACAGCACCAGCGTGTGTGCATTCTGTGCGTTTTTCCGAGTTTCCTGCAGATCAGGTATTCCGACGGACGTGACATGTGAAGGGCCAGGTAGGCCCTTCCGAGGGGCCGTAAAGCACCACGTTCTGCGTATTTACAGTTGCATTTGGTCCAGGGTCAGGTAACCGCTCTGACAAACGAGTCATCCATTCCAGCGGCTTCACGCAAAACAACTCTATTGCTCTCAAGTCACGTCTCACACTTGTCAGAGGTGGTCTAGTCTGCTGTCACTCAGCTCCACCCTGTCTCAGGACCTGGCTGTCCCCACAGGGTCCTCTGCATGGAGCCGGCCAGGGACAGAGGGACGCAGACAAGGTTGGAGGCACTGGGGCCCAGTGGGGGCACCGGGGACCCTGCCCACTGTCGGCAGGTCACCATTCAGCACAAACACAGCAGCTCGTCCTTCCGTGTTGGGACCTTCAAGTCCACGTGGATAAGAAGAGTGTATTGTGCTTTGCAGAATACTTGTACTTGTTACCATGTTTTCTTTTTCCTAAGCCCAGTCAGAGTGGCTGGGGCACAGGCCACTCCAGGGACAGTCGGGCGGGACAGGACTGTGCTTTCCTGGGCCCACCCACCTGCTGGCTGTGCGCCGGGCCCCCGCACAGTCGTTTGCAGCCGGTCTCCGAACACTTGGCCATGGCTGTTCTTTCTCCTCCCTCTTACCCCTCGCTTTCACCCAGTGACAGTTCCTTGTGGGACCCTCGGCCTCCGGAACCCTGCATCCCCTCTTCCCCCTCTTGCCACACCAACCTCAGCTCCTTCGCCCCTTTTCCAAATCATCCCAGGCCCTGCCTCTCCAATGAGACTCGTGTCCCTGGTCACGGCTGTCCCACGGTACCTGACACAGAGGGCACTTGGCACCCACAGTGTGTGGATTTCTGAGAGAACGAATAAGCGTGACGTTTGTGAGCGTGTTTACAGGCGGAGGCCACTGAGCGTTACCCAAACAAGTGTTTGCCGGGCGCCCCTTCCATGGAAACACTGCAGAACCGCAGTTGGAGCTCGGTCGGTGAAGCCGGGAGCATGCGCGGCCACCCAGCAGAGAGCTGGCCCAGGCGCTGTTGCTGACAGAGGATGACATCGCTCGGGCCTCTCAGGAGACGTGGGCACAGTGACGCTGGGACGCAGTTGAAGGTGGGGGGTTGGAGCAGAGCATCCTGGACAGAGGGCAACGCATCTGGGAGCCCCTGGGGGGCCCTCAGCACCTCCACGAGTCTGGGCTGAAAGGACGGGCCACATGGCCTGTGAAGCACCAGCCTCCCTGGTCAGCCTCCCTGGGGCAGTTGGGTGGAGCAGAGCCGAGGACGTGGGCTGAGAGGCGGGCGGAAGGGCTCAGCCGGTTCCCGCCCAGCGGCAGCCTGGTCTGCAGCAGGATGGCCCCTGGAGCCCAGTCTCTTCACGTCCACAAGGGACATGACAGGAGGGTTAGTCGCAGGAGTCCGCGAACATCAGTGCACATAACGTGTGTTCACCTTTTACTGCTGCCTGAGGAATTTAACACCTAAAACAAAAGCAAACTGAAAGGACAGCTAGATCAGG